TTTTTTTTTTTGTCCAGTTATTTTTTTTTTTATTTAAATAATAAAATCAAGGTTTTTCATTTCATCATAAACCCTTTCTCCTCTGACTCTATCCATTGTTTGAGCACCTGTTTACCATGGAGCACCTGTAATTCTTCTCAACAGCTGTAAGTTCTCGGTCCAGAATCTTCTCCCTGAATCCGTTTAGACTTTTTCTGTAATTTATAGGGGCTTTCTTTCAAGCTTTCTGAGTTTGTACCTTGGATTCTTGTTTGCGTGGTAGTTTGTTTCCATTTGTCAGCGTTTATCAGGTCCTTCCTTTGATTATCTCCTTTATCGACAGCCCTGTCGCACAATTTGAATGTGAGATTGTGCCGAAATATTACAATTGAATTTCTGTTCTTTATTTCTCATTTGTGCAGTTTTGTTCTGTGAATGCTAAGTGGGTTTTGGATGGTAAGATGATATTATCTACAAAAAAGGACTACTACAACTGAAGCTAATGGATATTATCGAATCCATTGATAATCTTCCGGTGCAAGATCCTCCAGGAGAAGACTTCTCGTCAGCGGATTTGAATTGGGTCAAGTTTGGAAGTGCGGACAGATGTGATGATGTGGCCCTAATTCCTTATGATAGAGCTGATGCTTTCATCATTGGAGAGTGTTCTAAGGTTGAGTGCCCGACTAGATTTCACATTGAGAGGGGACGAAAACGGGCGAGAGGGAGCTTAAAGGAATTCAAGAATGATGATTATTTGGAGTACAGGATGTAAGTAGCGTACTTCAGTAAGCCTTTGTTCCTTCGTTCATGAGTTTACATAGTTCAAGAATATTCAAAAGCCTTGATTTGCACTGATTTAGTTGTAGCATTTGGTGATCACCATATTTAAAAAATGGGAGTTAAAGTTGTATGGGTTTGAGTTTGTTCTTGGATACAAAACCATCAACAATTGCTCAAGTGTTAGGCAGCCTGTTCCATCCGACAAAATACTTTTTCAACAGAAATGCTCATTTTCACAATGAGATGTCATTCTTTTGGAAAACATAAGATAACTGCAACGCTTTTTGTAAAGTACGACATTTTACTGTATGAGTATGCTTTTTTTTTTTGGTCAAGTACGATGGTTTGACCTGCCTAAGAGAAGCATTTGTGAATCATCAAATGTCTGAATGTGCTCATTCTCCTTCTATTCTTATGTGAATTTACTGTGTTCGATATTTTGTGTTTAGATTGGTAATGCTAATAACTGCGTCTACAGTTTGTTGTCTTGCTTTTAGCCTCAATAATACATACTCCCCTCCATCCCTAATTAAACTTTTTCGGCTAATTCTCTTGATCCAAATTATTTGCATAGTTTTCCAAGACAAGTGCATTCTCTTATTTATCTTGAAAATTTGAATGGAGGCCTTTCTGTCTATGCAATTCTTCAATTTCCTTGCCTAATAACATAGAATGAAAAATATAATATCATGTTGTCATAATTAGATTGAGTGTGAGGGTTGTATTGAAAACAAAAATACTTGGGAAATAGTAAACGATCATATTTTATACTTTACCTTAATTTCTATATCTAAACTTAAAAATACATTTAATTTCGGACTGAGGGAGTAGTTATGCAGCAGGTTCTAAACAAACTGCAGGAAGAGAGCAAAAATGAATTTGGATAATAAATATTAACCATTGTCAAGTTATTTATTTGTTTTAACTTTTTTTCTCTTAATTGGTCAGTTTTGTGTGTGACGGTTTATATTGCAACACTGAAATGTCTGAGACTTGATCAGTTGATTGTATCCAGGGTTAACATCACGGAACCCCTTTATAGCTGAGCAAAAGAGAGAAATCTAATCTAACTATACATGGAAGAAATTTACAAGACTGCCCATACATTATCCATTCTATTCTCTTTTATTATTAGAGTGATTGTACAATGTATATATAGGAAGATACTATTCATCACCTTTTTATCCCATAATTACGTTGACTTATCCAAATTTCTTTGTTTTTCCTTCTGTATCCTGAAGGTACTGGTGCTCTTTTGGGCCTGAAAACTACGGAGAAGGTGGAGGTATATTGCCAAGCAGAAGGTATCGGTTAAACACCCGAAACCGTGCAGCCAGGCCTCAATCCATGCGTGGCTGCACGTGCCATTTTGTCGTGAAGCGTCTCTATGCCCGCCCGTCCCTTGCCCTCCTCATATTCAACGAGAGGCGCCACGTCAACAAAGCGGGTTTCATCTGCCACGGGCCCCTTGACAGGGATGCTATAGGGCCAGGAGCCAAGAAGGTTCCGTACATCTGCAGTGAGATTCAACAGCAAACTATGTCCATGATATACCTCGGAATCCCTGAGGAGAATGTTCTGGAAAAACACATCGAAGGGATCCAACGTTATGGGGACTCGGATGCAAGGGCCGAAAGCCTCGCCACTCGGTACGTGCAGAAACTGGGCACGATCATCAAGCACTCGACTCACGAGCTGGATCTTGACGACCAGGCTAGCATCCGGCTATGGGTCGAACGGAACAAAAAATCTGTTTTCTTCTATCGGGACTCGACTGAAAACGAGCCTTTTGTTTTGGGGATACAGACGGAGTGGCAGTTGCAACAGATGGTCCGTTTTGGCCACCGGAATATGATAGCAGCTGATTCGACATTCGGGATTAAGCGACTGAAGGTAATCAGGGTTGTGCAATGTCTTTATATGTGGTGAAGCATGTAAACACTGAAGAAATCGGAAAAGTGTAGTTTTAAAATTATGATTTAATGGCAAAATGCAGTATCCGTTGTGCACCCTTCTCGTGTTCGACTCGAGGCAGCATGCACTCCCTGTTGCCTGGATCATTACTCGTAGTGTTGCAAAGCCAGACGTAGTCAGCTGGATGAAAGCTCTACTTGATCGAGTTTGCTTGGTTGACTCTGGGTGGAAAGTCAATGGGTTTTTAATCGACGATGCAGCCATTGATATTGACCCGATAAGGCATTATGTTTGCATGTGTTTAAATTTCTAGATCTTGAATTATTTTGCCTGTTACTGATTAGAGTTGACTAATCTTTAGGGAGACATTTTCCTGCCCTGTGCTGTTCTCCCTCTGGCGTGTCCGTAGGTCATGGCTGAGGCACATTGTTAAGAAATGTAGCAACATTGAAGTTCAAAGGGAGATGTTTAAGCGTTTGGGTCAAATCGTGTATGGCATTTGGGGTGGAGTGGATATTGCACTCACTCTTGAAGAGTTCTTGCTGGATTTTGTTGATCAAATTTCCTTTATGCAATATTTTAAGGATACTTGGGTGCCAAAGCTAGGTCGGTATACACTATTTATATGCATTCTCATGTCCCCAATTCTTTAGTTTTTTCCCCTTATCATTTCTCCATCCAATTTGCAGAGATGTGGCTGAAATCAATGAAGACCCTCCCACTTGCGAGCCTGGAAGCATCTGGCGCAATTGAAGCTTATCACGTGAAGCTGAAAGCTAAGTTATACGATGAGGACGACTCACAACTTGGTTCTCTCCTGCGGGTCGACTGGTTGGTCCACAAGCTGACGACTGAGCTCCACTCGAGCTACTGGCTCGACCGCTATGCAGATGAAAGCGACTCGTTCCTGAACGTAAAGGAAGAGTATGTTGCCTCGACTTCCTGGCATCGGGCCCTTCAAATCCCCGATCACAGCGTCTCGTTGGACGATGAAGACCGTCTTTTTGCGAAAGTTGTGAGCCAGAAGGACAGCAATTTGATGCGGGTTGTTTGGAATCCTGGTTCGGAATTTGCCCACTGTGACTGTGAGTGGTCAATGCAAGGAAACCTGTGCAAGCATGTCATTAAGGTCAACATGGTCTGTGAAAATCATGGGCCACAGATGTCGTATAAATCGTTTATGAATATTTTGATGGATCTGTGGAGGAAACCGATGGATGATTCAGTTGAGCTGGACATTTCGGCTGCCTGGACGTGCCAAATGCTCGAGCAGATCAAGAATGTTGTTCGTCTTAATGATTCGGACGATATAGGTCTCGTTGTGAATGACATGCCATTGAAATGGGCTGATAAGAAGACCAGGACATCATCATCGTCCAGTAGGGGGTTTTTGTGCCTTGCCCGGCCCTCTGAGAATGGCCCAGACAAATTTGCTGTGCATAAAAGGAGTAGGAAGAGGAAGAGGATTTCTCGTCTCTGATAATTTTTTGTGTGTGTGTTTTTATTTTTATTTTTTTTTTAATTTTTAATTTTTGTATATACATGTAAGGACTTTTGAGTTGGAAAATTTTTTAGTATCAGGTGAGGGCTAATTTTTTTTGATATTTATTACTGTTGTTGGTTTTGTGTGTGAGGATCCAGCAGTCAGGTTGACAATAAACTGAGGCAAACTTTTTTTTTTTTTTTTTTTTTGGTGATGGACTGATCTTTATGTGGTGAAGGTAGCTATTTAATTATCAAAGATATGTGACGTTTATGCACATGAAATGTACCACACTATGTTCTGATTGAACATAGATTTTGAGGTAACAGTGATTACACTCTTTTACTTTCTTTACTTCCCCTTAGTGTTTGCATTCAGTTGTATGCTGGATTCTTGTTCTTTTGAAGTTTGAATGCATTTTATCTTCTCGAGAAGAGAAAAGAAAAGAAAAGAAAAAAGATAATATTGTTATATAGTTCTTGACCTATCTGATATCGCAATTCATACGCATCCAATGTCATTCATTTAATAACGTACTACACTCTTTTTCTCATCCACATCATGTTTGTACATCATTCCATTAAATATTATTCCATTTAAACACTTCTCCACATTCATTAAACTTAGACACTAATTGGTGTGAGTTTCATTTAAAAAATTAAAATATATAAATTAAAAGCAAGTGCATAAATAATATTTTTTTATTTATTTAGCCCCACGATTTTTTGTTCAATCTCATTCAATGGAATGAATAACAAATGTGAGGCCCACTAGTTTTGACATCAAATGAATGACATGCATTGGTTTAAATGGGACTCTGGTATAATTTTAAATGGGACTCTGGTATAATGAGACATATTCATAGTATAATTAGGACTAGAGGAACTGATATAAATCCTAATGATGATAAGAAGAGATTGGAATACATGTACTTTTTTTTTTTTTCCTTCAATCAAGTTTTCTCCCACTTGGTTTACTTGACAAGATTTTAATGATACAACACATAAATACTCCACTAAAGATTATCTAATTGAGGGGAAGCAATGTTGTGTTTTCACAATGCTAAGATTTTGTCCCACCGAGTTTCTTGATATACTGAAGCACCAGTACGTGATGGCACATGCTACACTATATGATGTTTGGATTGGGCTTTATTCCAATTAGTTTCAGTATGTTCAGAAAATAGTCATTAAGGGAGAGTGTTATGAAATGTCTAAAGATATGAATGACTATTTTGCCCCTGATGTAATTGTATTATTACGATTATGCCATCATAAGTGTTCATATAAATAGGAGCTTCAGTTATAATGAATATCATACCAAGAGAATAAATTCTCTCTTTTCCCTCTAGTTTTATAACAAAAATATATCTTATTTTTTTTTTGGGTATAATTCGCCACCATTGGTCAATAAAGTTTATTATTATTATTATTATTATTATTATTATTATTATTATTATTATTATTATTATTATTATTATTATTATTATTATTATTGTTGTTGTTGTTGTTGTTGTTGTTGTTGTTGTTGTTTACGAGCGTTTTCGGTCAACGGTTAAATTTATAGATATCGAAAGTGAAAGACTGGAAATAAAAGAAAGTGTGGTTTAATTACGGTTTTATTAGGCGATCACGATGTCAGCCTCTCGTACGAGGTCGACACTTGTGATATACTAACAATTCTTACAATGAGTTTCTTACAGTTTTAGAGAGAGAAAGTAGAGAGAAGGCAGAGTTAGTTGAGATTCAACAACCCAAAATAAATGAAATGAGCTGCTATTTATAGTGTCCTTAAATGCAGCACTATTCAGATACTGTTCATCGGTCTTGTCGTACAGTAGTCTTGCAGGGCAATTCGGCGCCTCCCTGACATCTATTTAATGTGATTTGAGGTTCCTTCAATCATTGCTTGTCAGGCATTAAATGCCAGCATGGGGGGCATTTAATGCTGGTAGGTTTTCTTGACTAGACCTGCTTGTAGGGTACCAGGCTATGACAACCTGTCCCATCATCCAATGATGAACTTCCAAATGGGAATATTTTATTATTTATTGAGTTCCGCCCCCTTTCTTTGTGTCGGCCACCCCAGATCTTCAGGTCGGCACTTTCCCCGAATGTGTTCAGGGGACAACTGGGCACCTACTTTCTGCCCGGCACCTGCTTAGATCGGCTCCGATACGAACTGAGACGGGTGCCGGTCTGGGGAAACGTTTCTATGGTGGCCCTGAGTATTTTTACTCTTTGGTTCGGCTCGGCACTCCGGTGTCAGACCGGGTCCGCGGCCCGGGTCTTGAGGGGTTAAGTTTCCGGTTCATTCTGGGCTAACTCAGATATCAACAATTATTATTATTATTATTATTATTATTATTATTATTATTATTATTATTATTATTATTATTATAATAATAATAATAATAATTATTATTATTATTATTATTATTATTATTAGTAGTGGTAGTAGTAGTAGTAGTAGAAATAACTCTAACAAAATCCGCATATGCATGTGACAATAAAGATTGACATTGTTGCATTCCAAATTGTTTGGCAAAATTTCAAAAATGATCCACTATATTGGTCATTTTCAAAAAATGTCCATTGTATAGGGCATCATAAAAAATGGTCCTAAGTTGGCACTTTAATCAAAACTAGTATTTGATCCTGTGCACATGCACATGAATTTAAATTATTTTAACTTATAAATTGTGCGTATTGTGTAATTGTAAAATTATAAGTTAAATAATAGTATCACATTTTAAAACTTTTGTCATTAGTAAAAATGATCATCATAAAAGTATTCAAATTCATCACTATAGTTACTATGTAAAATAAAATGGATAATTATTTTATATTAAATTCAACTAATATATTATACAATCTTGCAAGAAAAAAATGAATTTGAATGAGCTGATGTAAATATGTCTATTACAAAAGATGACTTTTCTTATATATATTTTGTGTTGTATCTATAGCATATCAATACTTAATACTTCTTTTGCATGTGAATAGTCAAAAAATATTTTTAATCAATCAAATGAAGGGTTTAAACATTATCTTGTAATCATGCAACAATTACATTCTTCAAATATAGAGAAATAAAAAATGATAAATGCATGCAACCGTTACAAATTCAAAATATAGTAAAAATAGGTGAATGATTGTATGTAATAAATTAAAAGAAAAAAAATTAATGGTAACGGTTTTTGGATGGAGGTCATAATTTTTTTTATTAAATTTAACCTATTTTTGTTAAATGACCTCATATTATTATTAATTGAAGCTGAATAAAATCAAATGAAGCTTGTCCCTAATTATATATATAGATTCGTTTAAAAACCAACATAGTGTACTAAGAGTGGTTGTCATTTTTAGTACATTATGTTTGTTTTTGTACGAGTTCTGATGAAAAGTGGCAACTTAATGAACCATTCTTAATGACACCCTATTAATAAACCTTTGTCGGAAAATGACCAACATAGTGTACTAAAAATGAAATTTAGCCAATCTTTGTTCGCCACATACCAAATCATCACAAAAATACTATATAAGAGCACAATTAGATCATGTTAAATTTTTCGGTGGCTAAAATAATTTTCATCATGTTACTTAATAAATTATAATAAAATTCAGTTCGTGGCGAAAGAAATCACAAAAGAACAATATTTATAGTATTGAGTGGATCAAAATTGACAAAAGTTACAACTATAACATACTAAATTTGTAATTCGAACTAGTTAATGGGCAAAAATCCAAAAAGTTGTCTAAGTTACATGACCAAAATTATCCAGTCACTTACCATGTCGAAAAAAGTTGTCTAAGTTAGATAACAAAAATTATCAAGTCACTTACCATATACTATGCAACATAACCCTCAGATTTTATCGATTTTGTTATAAAGTCAACCTTCTATATACAACAAGTAAACCATAATATCTATAATCTATAATTATATAAAGAGGTTGCTGAAAAAATACAAAAATAGTAAGATTGATTATAAAAAATAATGTTTTGACTTACTAATTTAAGTAATAATTACTATATTAAGTAAAAACATTAAAAGTCCCACATGTTTAATTAATGAACATAAAATATGTGCGCTAATCAATGCGAAATCTTGGCAAAATTAATTTCGAATTGTGTAACCAATCTAACCGGTATTTGTTCGCTTAATCCATGCGGATTTTGTGCAAAATGAAGAGCAACTGATTAATATTTTAAATGCTCAAATTTTGTTATGATTTACTTAATCAATTCGGATTTTGTGCAAAATTAGTTTACAATTTGTATCCCAAGTAAAACGGAATCTGTACGCAGACAACTTTGTTCACAATTAATTATACACGCGTGAAAATTAAACATAGATTAATCAATTTGTATCTCCTCATTACTGGTTCCGATTTTCTTAACAAATTTCAGCGGATTTTGTTCAACATTAGTTTGGAATCTCTATCAACAAACACGGATTCTGTGAGATTTGATTATGGAATTACCAAAAATGCATTTATGGTAAAAATTGAATTTACGTAATTAACTTCACAAAGCAAAATAATATTGGCTTTTTTAAAGCATGTAAGCGGATTGTGTAAATAATATCTTCAAGATAATGATGCAATATGGCCGTGTAAATAGGAAAACTTGCCCATGTAAACGTGAAAATCCCAAAAGATTATTACAATATTTAAATAATTTTAATTCTTAGTGTATGACTATATATACATCTCATAGCTTGAACAATAACAACAGACATTCGACATCATTCGCATCTCGCATAAAAATCGTTTTAAAAATTTTGAATTTTTATTTATAATGATAACTACAGTGTTTTTCCTTTCTCTTATTTTTTTTCTTTTTTTTGCAGTTATCTACACGATCGAGTTTAAAAAACATGGATTACCGCATGCTCATATATTGTTGTTCCTTTCGAAAGAGTCGAAGTTTCCCAACCCATCAGACATAGACAGAATTATATCTGCAGAGATACCAAATGAATCTTCTGATCCTCAATATAACGAGGCCGTAAAGGAGCATATGATCCATGGGCTATGTGGTCTGGCAAAAAAAGACTCGTCGTGTATGGTCGATGGAAAATGCACCAAAAGTTTTCCTAAGAAGTTTGTTGAATCCACAACAGTTGACGAAGAGGGTTATCCACGGTACAGGCGTCGTGACAATGGATCTTCTCCAGAAAAGAATAGTATTGTTGTGCACAACGGTTTTGTCGTGCCTCATAACCGGCATCTGCTTATGAAGTTTGGAGTGCATATTAATGTTGAGTGGTGCAATCAATCACGATCTATAAAATACCTATTCAAATATGTCAACAAGGGTAACGATCGTGTGACTGCATCCTTTTATAAAACTTCTGCCGAATCGGACGTCGAGAGACTGTTGGATGAGATAAAATTGTATTACGATTGTCGGTACATATCGTCGTGTGAGGCGGCTGTTTGTCCCATTTTTGTTGCATTTTTCGTGCTTGTTTTATCTTTCTTTTTCCCCCGTTTTAGGTCTTTTCGGTGTTTTATAGGTCGTTCTGTAGTTTATTGCATGCTTTGTTTTAGTTTGGTTTTTTATGTGTTTTCCGTATATTTTTCCGGTTTTCTTTAGTTTTTGGTGTGCAGGTCCGAAGATTCGAGAGAATTTATTTTTCAAGATAAATGGACCGAGTGAGCATATTTACATAGAGTGTCTCGTTAGCGTCACACAGAAGAAAACATAATCGAATTCCGAGTCCAAATGAGCGTAAATAGGCCCGAGACGCGAAGACTGCATGCATATAAGCCCGCAGCTCCAGGCCCCGCGCCGTGCCGGTCCCACGACTGGGACAGACGACCAGACCTCGCGCGCCGCGCCGCGGTACCTGTTACGAACTCTTCCCAGGCTTCTCGCGAATATCCCGCGTCGTGAAGGACAGCCCGCCGCGCCGCGATGTTGTCACCGTTACGAACATAGGTCAGCTTTCTGCCCGTCGCGCTGCGGAGCAGTGCCGCGCCGCGGTACCCGTGCCTGTCACGCTGCGAAGCCATGCGTGACGCCCTCTACGTGCAGACAGAGCTCTGCAAACCTCCCTCACGCCGCGCCCAAATTTCATGACCGCGACCGCGACTTCTCCTTCTGCGGCCGCGGCGAACAAAAGCGCACAGCACCCCGGAACTTCAGAGAAGAAATTTCGCGCCCTCGGGAAGAATCCGCGGCAGCGGAGCCGTTGTTCACCGCGGCCCGCGGGCTCCTCCACGGCAGCGAAGTCGCGCAGTTCAGTTTTTTTATTAAATAGCAGATTTCACGTTTGAGAGAGCAGGCTCGATCGAGGGTGAAAACCCTCGGGCTGAGAACACAAAAATCTCCTCCTTTTCCCTTCTTTCTTCTTCTTCTTCTTCTTCTTCTTCTTCTTCTTCTTCTTCTTCTTCTTCTTCTTCTTCTTCTCAATCATTTTTCTTTTTTTTTTTCATCTTTCTTTTCCATTGTTCTTCTTCTTTTCTTTCTCTTAATTAGGGTTAAGCTTGTAACTTGGATTCGACTCTTGAATATGGATTGATTGTAAGTTTTTCATCTTGTTTAATTCATGTGAATGATTATTTGAGGTGAATTGCTTGATTTTGTTGAATTCATGTTAAGTAGTTAATTATGATTGCTAGGGATAGGGGATGATTGTTCTTGTTTGAATTGTATTTTGTCGGGCTTGAATTGTTCGTTCTTATGCGAGTTGATTTAATTCACAATTGATGAAATTGAGTTTGATAGCTTGATATAATCGAAGGGTGACACTTCGATCTTGTAATTGGTAACAATAGGATATTGATTTGTCAAGTTTGGTTCTGTTGATTCTATATGACTAGTTGATTAATCACCTTCTAGTTAAATTAGCGACTTTTTGAACTGAAAGGGGAGAAGTCGTAGACTTAAGCTCGCATGAGGTAGACGATTTCGTAACTGAATAGCCTATAGGTTTGGGTTGAAATACGCGTTTGTCAATGACTCGTCCCTTGTTACGGAAAGTTATTGGGATGGGATAATTGGCCTGTGGCGTATGCTCGAGATTATTCGTCTTTGTTCAATCCCTTGTTACGAAGAGTTATTGGGAGCGAACCGCTAGATGTCTAAACGAGAGCATCAATCTGGAATAGAATGATTTATGTCCCGGCTTTCTATATAGAACTTGAATTGATTATCCCCGATTCCCTAGCTTCTCCGTCTTGTTTCGTTTATATTTTAGGTAGATTTTTGCGTTGTTATTTATTTCTTAGTTGATAATTATTCATCCCCCTTATCTGATTAGAGTGTTTAGGATTTTATTTTCTTTTATGTGCTGTCGATACTATTTCTAAATTCCGAACAGCCTTCCTCGTGAGATCGACCTGGGAAACGAATCTTTCGATACGGTACTCGGTAAAAGAACAATTTGTATACAACAGCGGCATGGAGGTTGTTCGGTAATGAATTGTAGTACAAAAAACCTCCCGTGCAGCGCTTGAATTTTCACTTATTTGGAGAACAAAACCTATTATTTGACGATGAAAGAAATCTTCAAAACGTTCTCCGTAAACCCACTGTTGATCAGAGCCAATTTATTGTGTGGTTTGAGGCAAACAAACAATATCCTGCAGCGAGGGAACTAACTTATGCTGAGGCGCCGTCCAAGTTTGTGTAGAATACAACAATATGGCAGTGGACTCCTCCAGTAAATGAGGACCAACCCTCTGTAGGTCGTTTGCAGTACGTACCTCCTGGGTCTGAAAATAATTATTACTTGCGATTGTTGCTTACTGTTGTGCGTGGGGCAACATGTCATGAGGAATATATGAAGGTCGACGACTTCCAATATCTAACGTATCGTGATGCTTGCTACGCGCGGGGTTTGTTAGAGGACGATTGAGAGTATGTAGATGGCATAA